ATACAGAAATAGGTGCTGCTGCTGTGATGATAGCATTAGTGTCTGTTATCTGATTTCTCGCTTTGCTGCACTCAGGAATAGACAGCATTTGAGCATCACTCATTCCCCCATTTTGTCTTTCCAGATGCCTTCCCAATGCAAGGACAGCATTTAAGCTCTTAGATATGTAGGACCACAGAAAAGGAAGGGAACTCGGAAACGCTCCAGTCTGATCCCATTGTGGTGAAGTGGAAAGAGCACTGAGCTCTTTCAGCCAGAGGGCCTGGATCTGACTCATACCTGAAATGGGTCTGACAATCCCTGCACAATCAACCTCGCTGGGTTGGTGTAGGGAACGTCACTACGGAAATGCCGGTTATTATAACAACCTCAGAGACTATAAGCAAAATAATTTCTGCTGCGTTAGGTTTCCTAAGAGCAAAAGTTTTAAATGTTGGAAAATTATTTTCCCCTAGTCCTCATAAGAATGTGTTTAAGACAAAGTAACTTGGAGGAATAGGAAGAAGGGGACTTTTTTCAGTCTGGTATTTAGAAAAGGCACAAAGGTGGATGTGGATAAAGTAATTTTTGTAACTATTTATTTATACTAATTGATTACATCCTCAGTAGCACCGAAATTCACTTTTGGTCCAGTCCCTACCCCTCTGTGGGTCTCCCCTCCCCTCCCCTCTCCCCCCCTTTTCCTTCCTGTAAAATGGAGAGGTTAGATTAGCTGGTCTCCCAGCCCCTGCCAGCTCTGACATTCTGTGTTGCATAGTTGGAACTTCCATTCCACACACAATATTCTGTGGTCTATGTCTTTTATCACCCAGTTCTGACATTGTGATTCTGGCTAATTTCCATCCTCTTGTTAGTTTTAAGACCTTGTGACAGATTAGGGATGGGAAGCCATCTGTTTGTCAGAGGCCATACTGAGACAGGGTCTTGGAACAGGGGCTCCTCACTCTCCTCTCCTCTTGCTGGCTGATTCTGCCTTGCCTTGAAGGAGCGGAATAGTTTTTGTAAGGTACTGCTTTCTTCTCTGTCCCCATGAAGCGCAGGAAGGAAAGATGCCAAAGGAGGACCATTTCTGTTTAAGCATTTGCCTTAAATAACAGCATCAAGTCCTTATGTGATCCCTTGTTTTCTCAGCATGTCACCCCATTTCTTTTTTGTTTTTTGGGGGAGGAAGTTGGGGTTAAGTGACCTGCCCAGAGTCACACAGCTAGTAAGTATCAAGTGTCTGAAGTCACATTTGAACTCAGGTCTTCCTGACTCCAGAGCTGGTGCTCTATTCACTTCACCACCTAGCTGCCCCCATTTCTTTTTCCATGTCGTTGTTGAGAGGCAGTGTAATGGAATGGAAAGTTAGGCAGACTTAGAGCCAGGAAAGATCTGGGTTCAAATTCTGGCTTTGACCCTTACTCTGTGTGACTGTGCACAAAGTCACTTCACCTGGATGAGCCTCAGTTTCCTCATCTGTAAAAATGGAGATAATTCTATAAAAAATTAATCTCTATCAGTCTTGACAGTGTAAATGGGACTTATTTTTATGCTTTCTTACACACAAGTATTATTAACCACGTAGCATGTTCAGACCCACCATATTTCTTTCTGTCATCTTTTGGGTTTGCTGAAGTGATGATTCTTGAGATGGTGTGGCATGATTTTAGCCACACAGAAACACTGAGAAAAGACTGGAGGTACTGAATTGGCATGTATTAAATATTAAAAGAAATAGAGGAAGGCCTCCAGGGTGTGGGATGGATCTTCTCTGGAAAGACATGAGTGAGAATTGCTCAGCAATGAGTAGAGGATGCCCTGTGGTCTACCCACCATTTGGAGCAGCCACACTGATGAGATTCCGGATCTCACGAGTGGAGTGCAGCTTTTCTTCAATGTATCCCCAGTGCCTGGAACACAGTAGGTGCTTAATAAATGTTTGTTGATTGATCCTTCCCATGCCATCATCACCTTACAGACAACCGAGTTGTCTCTACATCTATTTGCGACTGCTTCTGTTTTGGTAATTAATGGACTATTTCCCATGACTTATTTCTGAAGTCAAAAGTCCAGTGTTTACCAGGTCATCTCCCTGGAGTGACCCAGATAAAACTGAGGCCATTATCAGGGGCCAGGTTTTACCTAAGTCCAGAAAACCAGATGGTGGCTAAGACAGTAAAAATTCATAACTCCTGGTACTTCTTAAATGCCCACAATCCTAGGCAATACTGCCTTTCCACCAATCTGCACAAAAGTGTAATGCCATACCCCAGGAGGCAGTAATTCCTTCATCCCTGTCTCTAAGTCCAGAATGAATGACCACTTGCTAGGAGGAGCTCCAGTTTAGGGATGGATTGAATTAAATGGCTTCTGAGGTCACCTCCCAAATCTAGGTAGCTAGATGGTACAAGATCAAGCCCTGGGTCTGGAATCAGGAAGACTTGAGTTCAAAACCAGTTTCAGATATTCTAGCTATGTGACCCTGGGCAAGTCATGTAACCCTCTGCAGCCTCAGTTTCCTCATCTGTAAAATGGGGATAATAATAGCACCTACCTCCCAGGGCTGTTGTGAGGATGAGATATTTGTAAAGTGCTTCAGCAAACTTTACAGAGTTATATAAATACTAGTGATTACCATCTGCGATTCTGTGAATCTACCATAGGTTTCAGCTCACACCTTCACACTATGATTCTCAGGATACTTTGGCACACAGTGTTTCCAGTGAGAACCAGGCCTACTCAATCTGTGTGATCTGCCGCTGCCACTTCTGTCCCACCAGGTGACCCTCAATAATTCTCTAGGTGTCTGTAAGCCTAGAACCTATTGCAGACGTTCCATCTGCCTCTTTAAGCAGTTTGCACCAATCAGTGCCAGACTTGACCTATGTCCTTGCCCTTTGTATGTGAATGAGGGCGGTGTGGAAGATGAATGCTACACAGGCAGGAGATAGGGTTAAAATGAGATGGTCTCACTGTGTTCTTCTCCACAGGCCGGCCTGGAGGACCGAAGGCAGCAGCAGCTGCTGAAGTACAGCTGACCTTGGGTGGGTGGGGGAAGCCAATGTATGGCTGGTGGCAGAAACGCTTCATGGCAATGCCTTCTCTGCTGACATACTGTGTCAAATGGCACCGATTCGTTCTGATTAGGGCCCCATTAGTCACCCCTGCACATAGACAAGATTACAACTGGGGCAGTTTCCCGAGGACCATGTTTTTCTACTCCCCAGCCTAACCAGGCGCTTATAAATCTATCCAGAGTAAGAGCTATGAGGGATCAGGCATGAGCACATGGGTAACCAAGTTTGGCAACAGGGGCCTGGGTTCAAATCCCAGCTTTGTTGCTTGCCAGCTATGTGACCTCAGACACGTCATGGAGTCTCTCTCTGGGCATCATTAGTCACACTGAGTCTCCAAAGTCCTTCTGCATTCCAAGGCCATGATCCCATGACCTGGGTTCATATCTGGGTTCTGTCACTACCAACATAGCATGGGAGATTTAGAGCTGGGAGGGACCTGTAACATCTAGTCCACACCTGTCATTTTACAGATGAGGAAACTGAGGCCCAGTGAGGAAAGTGACTTGTCTGATGAGGTCACCCAGCCAGGGAGCAGCAGAATTGGGATCTGACTCCCAATCTAGGGCTCTTAAAACTACCAATGCCTCCGTTCTGTGTGATCGCAGACAAATCACTTCTCCCTTACCTTGGAAAACGAAGGGGTCAGAGTAAGGGGTGCAAAAGGTCATTCTTGGTTCTAGAGCCTAGGACCTCCTGAGGACAAGAATATGTTTCTTCCTCTTTGGCTCTGTGAGGGACTGTCTGATGTTGGCAGCTGCCAGTCGGGTACTGTGGCATGGGTAAGGTAAGATCTGGGTATTTTGGAAGTCGAGGCAGGGACTGTGGTAGGCAGAGTCGTGTGTACTGGGATGGGCTGGATTCGGAGAAGCCATGAGGCAATTGGGCAGTGCTCTGTGACATAAGCTGGGTGCAAGGAAGTAGCCAGCCTGAACTCCTGAGGCAAGGGGCGGTGCCACGTGGGAGTGGGATGGCAGAGGACTGAGTTCCCTCTGCTTAGTCCCCTCCCTATATGCAACGTCATCCCCAGATGCCTCTTGTGACCTTCCTGACCTTGTGCAGCACTGACCCAGTCCCCTCCTGAGTCTGACTTCCTAGGTCACGTACTCTTGTCTATGCGTCAATCCCAGATGCCTCCTTCCTGTATCCAATCCTGGCCTCCTACGTCACTCCCTCCCCCTTGGTGTGCTAAACTCAGACAGCCCCTTCCGGTATCTGACCCTACAATCATTGGTTAGTAGCGGGCTGGGGAGGAGGGGCTAAGTAGGTACTTAGGAACAAGCGTGGTCAGAACACACGTGCGCTCTCCCCTGGCTCCTGCCTGTTGCTCTGGCCTTGCTGCTTGGGCTTGCTATGATGGTTTGCTGTGTTGTCCTATGAATAAAACTCTGGTGTTGGTGCCTTCCCATGGCTTGTCTCTGTGTGGTGATCCGGCTGAGGACCGAGGACCCAGGCATGGGTAAGACTCTGGCAGTGCACTTCTTTTAAGGGAAGTGGGTACTGGCGCATGACTGGCAGAGGGTCAGCGTGCGGCCCGTATAGGCTCCTGTCAAAATGTTCATTTCAAGTTCATAAACTGCTTTTTAAAAATTGTTAAGAAGTTTTGATTTTGTGTTTTATTAAATTTAAAACATCACAGTATAAATTTAATTAGTCACTTCAGATTCTTTTCAGGCCAGATGGGCCATAAGACCCAAGATTTCAAACAAAACAAACAAATCTAAGCTACTTATCTGAACCTCCATTTTCTCATATGTAAAACAAGTTGAACCAGATGACCTCACCTGACCCTTCCAGGGCTGAGATAAGAGTCTATTTCCTTCTCTATCTATCTGCCTACCTATATCTATCTATCCATCCATCCACCTGTCCATCCAGCCATGGTCTACATTCACCCCCAGCCTAGGTCAGTGGGGAAGTGAGAAAGCAAACACAGAAAACCACATGATTCCTACTCTTTATTGGAATGAGAGGGTTCATACCTTTTATACTCGGGGATCCTCTTTCAATTGCCCAAAACGGTAAACGCTAGGAAACAGGCCTAACAATCAAATGGATGCAACATGGCTAGAAATACTGCATCCCCTGCAAAGAACGGAAGAGCTTTCTTTGTATTTAGATGATGAAATCGATTGCTTTTGTCCCAAAGTTGTAGGCTTTTTTTTTAATCTTACTTAGATGATTCTAGTCTTGTCCTTTAAAATACCTTAAAAAAAATTAAATACCTTTATGGTATATAGACTTTTGTATTATAGGTAATTACAGTGCTTGCTCTTGTCCCTAACAATTGTGCTGAGAAGCTACTAAACACTGTGGTCAGCCCAAAGCACTGGGCTTTAGGGCTGTAGTTTGGAGGTGGTGTGGAAGAAATGGTTGCATTTAAAATTATGGTTACTGAAGCTGCAGAAACTGTATTTTGTTATGGAAGGACTTAGCCCTCTTTCCTTTTACCTACAGTGGATTATCTAGCACAAAACACATGGGTGGGAGAGATAGGGAGAGAGAGGCAAGAGGAAGGGAGGTGCAGGGGTGGGGTGGGACAGAGAGGTCAAATAAAACAGAAACTAGGATTAAACTTCCCACTGAAATGATACCAATTTGATAAGCACAGGCCTAGAAGTCATGCCTATCCTATCGTGTGTGTGGGCAGGTACAGGTCCAAAATGTGCAGGAGGAAGTCCTGGAGAACTACATGTACTTGTGCAAAAATCATAAAGAATGAACTTTTAAAAACAGCTTCAGTAAAAGAAAGCTCAGTTCCTGTCAGGGACAGTGTCTGACTTGTTACTTAAAAAAAAATAGCCCTTTGCTAGTCTAGTCACACAGAGGATGATGGGCTATTGCCCTGGAATCCTTCACTATGTATGAAGTGTGGAGACAGAAAGAAGGCGGGGTGGGGTGGAGGCATCACCTCTTCCTTCCAAAGTCTGGAAGTTAGAGCCTTGCCCGGCCTTTCCTCCCTCCGCTTATCTGGGAACAAGGTGAAACAAATAGCCCCCTGAGAAGGGCTGGTGTTTGGAGGGAAACGACAGGCCTGAGGAGTTTAGAGGAGAGAGGCCTGCCAAGGTTCCCAAACAGAAAGGGGATGGCGATACTGAGATGGGCCTTGGCGTCGGGCACAAAGATCCCACGAACAACTCCCCAACCGGTGCTGACCCCAGGAGCACATTCCTGCTCGAGGACGGTCAGCGGATGATGCAAACGTCCAGGATGCAGAATTTGGCCCTGCAGGTGGGGCAAGGCACTTGGCTGGAGAGCCAGGTCTCAGGGTGCTGCTGGTCCTGACGGCTGGCGAACCACTTCCCCATGCAGGTCAGACACCACATGGGGCGGCAGTAACACTGCTGGCACTCGCCCTCGTCCGACTCCTGACAGTTCTTCACCAGCTTAATGTTGGCACTTATCTGCATGCAGCCAATGCAGGGCTCCAGCTCCTTCCAGGGTATAGGGAAACGGAGGTGGGGGTCGGGGAAAGACGGGGGGAATAAAAGGAAAACTGTTAACTCCTTTTCTGGCTCTTTTTAGAAGACCTGTACAGTTCAAGGCTTTTTTTTTTTTTTTTAATTATCCAATGCAAAGCAATGCAATTCGGTAAACAAGAATTAATTCCCAAGTGTGTAGGCTCCACCTAGAGGAAACACACAATTCAGATAAGAACAATCACACCAACTCACTTTCCCAAAGTCAGAAGGCCTTGGAGGGTTTTGGGATGGAGGCAGTAAAACGCCTGAACAGACAAGCTTAGAGAGGGAAGTTAAGCTGCTGGTCCTGGAACTAGTCACTGCCAGTGAGGGGATGACTCGGGCCCTCCACAGTTCACAGCTGGGTTGGGGTTAAGGTATCAAACGGTGATACACATAGCCCATCCATGTGAAACCCGAAGGATGTGAGGGCCCTACTGACAAGGGCCATGAGGGAAGGCTTCTTGGAGGAAGAATTTGATTTGGGCTTTAAAGGCCAGGTAGAAATTCAGCAAGGAGAGGGGGCACTGTAGAGCGTGCAAAGGAGCAGAGGTGGGAAAATTCGGGGGGGGGGGTCAGGGCATAAAGGGAGGCTGGAGAGGTCCCCTTGGGAGACATCTGGGAGTGACAAGCAAGGAGCTTCAGCTTTATTTGGCAGGCACAGGGTACTCCTGAAAAACGCTCACAAGACTGACTTGCACAGACTTTTACCATTCTCCTGAATAGAAAAAAAAAGAGGGAAATGGGACAAGGAAAGTTCTAATTGCAAAAAATCAATTCCTAGCCAGCTCTGATGCTGCCCCTTTTCCTAGTCCATCGCTAAGCCAGCCTCTTAAGGAACAATTTCTCAATGACCACAATGGGCTGCCTCAGGGGGCTTCCTGCCTGCTCAGCCTTTGTCTGGGTGCCTAACAATGCACCAAAGAAAAAGGCCGGCCACTTTCAGCACTGGCTGCCCACACTAACCCTCCCCGGAAGCCTCCTTGTAAGTCTAGGAACCACCAAATTCAACTGGACTATTCCCAAGCAGGCCTTTGCTCTCTGCCCTGTCCTTTCTACCCCATGCTAGGGCTCTCTGAATCTTCACAGACCTCCACGGTCCAGCTCGGCTCACATCTATGCTGCCCAGTCTGGCCTGTGTTACTTAATTTACATGTGGCTCTCCCTTGTTGTCCCATGGAGAGCACAAGCTCCCAAGGCCAAGGGCACTGTCTTACATTTCTTTCTGTGCTCTTAGCATTAAGTACAATAAATACTCAAGTATTTATTGACCATTTACTTCCTAGCTGTAGTAGAAGCTCAATAAATACTTGTTGAATTAAACTGAATTAAATCTATTTTTTCCAACCAATTTATCACTTGGTTCCTTGTAGCTATCCGCCTCGACTAAGACAAACCTAAGATTAGGAAAAGCAATTCCTTTTGGTGCAAAAGAAGTAACACATTATCCAGGCTCGCTCAGAACCAATTAAAGGGGCAGCATATATTGTCTCCCGCTGGGCATCAATTTAAACCCAAATGAAAAACTCCACATGCCTTATCCATCTGTACACACAGATACACACACACACAAGCAAGGCTAGATATTTTAAAGCTCATTTTGGTGAGTACAAAAGTGACAGAGTCTATAATAAAGAAGGTCAGGAAGGTTGTTAATCTGAAATACTCAACTTAATTCAACTTGATATTTGTTAAGCTCCCACTGTATGAAGAGCCCTGTGCTGGCTACAAGAGGAGATAGAGAGTTTTGATAATAACAGACATAGGGAACTGTAATACATAACACTACATGATGAAGGCACTGGAGCAGGGTGAGCACAGCCCAGTGTGAGGTCCTCGAGGGTGGCTATGAAGAGGGGATGGCAGAGGTGACATCTGAACTGGGGGCTTTAAAGGGAGAGGTGGAATGGGGGAGGAAGGCTGCTCTGGGCAGGGAGTGCCGGGGGGTCAGTCAAAGGGATGGTGGTGGGAGAGTAGGGTGACTACAAGGAAAAGTGAGCTTGGTTTTACTACATGGTACAGAGGCCTTGGATGCAGCACGGGCCACAGCAGGGTTAGCAGGCTGACTGCGCAGGGCCTGGAATGCTGAGCCTAAGCTTTCCTACTGGTGGATGTAACAGGGAACCACTAAATACCTGGACCAGATTCGTGTCTGTCAGCATGTCGAAGGTGGACTGGAGTGGGGAGGAAATGGGAAAGGCAACACACAGGAGCACAGAGAGGATCAGAAATCTGGAACTGGAAGGGGCCTTCAAGGCCAGCTGGCCCAACGTGCTCATTTTACAGATGAGGAAACTGAGGCCCAGGCAGGTGAAGGGACTTGCTGAGGGTCACAGAGGTATTAAGTGTTAGAGGTAAGATTTGAACTCAGAGCCAGTGCTCTTTCCACGTTAGAAGCAGCAGCATTTGTCCAGGCTGGTAACAGAGAGCTGATGCCCAGGGATGGCAGTTTCTAAATCTGGTTGTTTACTGGGAGTGAGGAGCTAGGCAAGCTAGGGCAACCAAGAGGATGGAGTTCCACGGCTAAGCGGCACAGTGCTGATGAAGGAGACCCCAGGGTGTAAACGCTCCACAGGTCAGGGGGGCTGTGAAGGAAGAGGGTGAAAAACCCCACTGGCCCTACACGGGAAACCTGAGCTCAGTGGCCACCAGCAGCACAGAGAAGATGGGCAGGGCCTATGATGTGGTCTGAAATGGAGATCCTAAGACAGTATGATGTGGCCTCAGTCATACTGAGTCCTTCCTTGGTGAAGATTAGGCTGGGACCATAGGCAAATTCTTTGAACCTCTCTGTGCCTCAGTTTCCTCCTAGACAACAGGGAGATGGGTTCTAATAGCTGAAGAAATGGGAGGTGTCATGGCTTTTCATTAAATGCTGAAGAAAAGAACTCTTTGGTGACCTGGGAAAGGAGGTTCCCTTCCATGAGGAGCTGAGGAAAGCAATGCCCCCGAGGGCGGCTGTGAAGGAGACAAAATATAGCCTTGTGGGCTGATGGGGCGCCAAGGCCAGGGAGAGTTTTTTAGGAAGAGATGTGGGCATGCTTGTGGGCAGCAGGGAGAAGAGAAAAGTTTAGAGGGCAGGGATGATTGTGGGAGGTCTGCTGAAGAAGACAGGGTTGGGGGGGATCAGGCCACAGGGTGGGGGGCTGGCCTGGAGTAAAGGAAGAGAGTGGGAGTCAAGAGGTTCTGCGATGAAGAGATGGGGAGAAGGGAGAACTTGTGGCCAGTGGTGTCTGTTTTCTCAGCAAACTACATGGCAAGTTCCTTAGCTAAGAGGCTAAAGGGCCATAGGAGGCTTGAGGAAAGAAGGGAAGGTTGGGAAAAGCCTCACTGGAGGGTGGGACAGAGGATCAATGAGGAGGAGGAAAAGGACTGCCCTGCTGTTGTGAGGGCCCAGAGGACATCGTACAACATAAATGTGTAGTAGGTCCAATCCAGTGTGGAAGCATGACTTGGCAGCCATGGAGGGTGTGAGAGATTTTAGTAGAGAAAAAGGTTTGGAAAGCCCTCTGGGGGGGTTTGGGACAGAGGAGCAGTTAGGGAGGGGAAATGAAGAATAGACATAGTGATAATTAAGATACAGGAATCACTGGAGACCTATCAGGAAAGCATGAGAATGTTCTCAAGATAAGCCTAGTGGCGAAAGTAATTTAGAAACAAGGGTTAGTGAACATAATGAGGTGTGACTGATGAAATGGATATCCTTTGGCACTCAGAGGGTGTCGTGTCATTTCATGTCTAGTAAATAAAATCAAAGAGTTAACAAAAAAGAATGACACATTTATCCCTATCTCCTAAAAGAGAAGACACCTGAAATAGTTTTCCTTCTCTTACTGGTTTTGGGGTCATCTGCTGCTGAACGTGGGTGTAATTAAGAGATCGTACCCTCAGAGACTCCTGAAGGGTGAGGGCTTTCAGGAAGCCGATGGGATTCAGGAGTTCAGAGACTACCCCTCCCTCCCAAACCATCGCCTTGGACGTTGTCCCTACTTCCCTTAGACAGACTACAAATAATAACAGCTTTTCATTTTATTAGCACTTGAAGATTCACAAAAGTGCCTGCCCCACAACAACTCTGGAAGGGAGGGCAAGCAAGGGTTTTATTATTCCCATTTTACAGAGAAGAAAACAGAGAGAGAGAGAGAGAGAGAGAGAGAAAGAAAGTAGCCTGGCTACACCCACACATCTAGGATGTATCTGAGCAAGGATTCAAACCTCTGATTCCAATGCCAACACGCTGGTACCATGCTGACTCTCAAGTTTAGAAATATTCTCATTATAGTCTAATAAATATAATTGAGTTTGAATCATCTTTAGGTTTGAAGCTGGCTGGGGCTTAGCATAAGTCAGGGACTACTCAAACCATTGACATACAGATAGCATGCTTTTATTAAGTGTTTACTGGGTGCCAGGCACTAGACCTCATGTTTGCCATTAGCTTTCCAAATTCCCCATCCACCCAACATCAACAATCATCAATCCCTACCATCCGACAAGTTCCCAAGAGGATCGAGTCTCTTTCATCTTGTTTAAAACACATCCCTGTCCAGTACCTCCAGGGACACGTACTAATATGGCGCCAATAAAATTGCTTCCAGAAGGAGGTATAGTCAATAGCAAAAGGCCTGAATAATCCAGACGCTAGATACTCCATTGTTCCATACCTGAAATTGCAATGGAAGTAATAATATGACTTCACCTCTCCATGTTGCTTAAAGTTTTCCAAATTGTGTGGTGTTTTTTTTTTATGGCCACCCTAGGGATAGGCACTGCAAATATTATTACGTCCAGTTTACAGAGGAGAGAGCTGAGGTCAAGAGGGTGAAATTACTTGCCCATGGTCAGCACTTGGCTGGAGATGTGGTTCTGGGGATGAGGACTGGGGTCAGGCCTGGGGAAGAGATATCTGGGTGCCTGGGGTCTGCAGAGGGTGGAATAGTGCCTGAGTTGTACAGGGGACTGGGGGGAAAGTGAAGAAAGAGGAGAGAAGGCGGAGGTCAGAGCCTTGGGGAACCCACCCCTCACATAGGCCGGGAAAGGGGATGACCAGCTAGGAAGGGAGACTGACTGGCACACCCTGCCAACGAAGAGGTACCAAATGTCTCCCGCTTATGCTCACTTGCTCGTTCTTTCTCCTTCTTCCTCTCTGTCTCTCTCCCAAGGACTTTCTGCACAGAAAGTAATTTTTATCTTTCTATCTACCGACTCCTTCCCTGCTGCCTCCACACAAGTCCAGATCTCTCCCCATCCTTTAAAAAACAAACACAAAATCTTTCACCTGACCCTGCCAGGCCCTCAAGCTATGTCCTATGTCTCTTCTTTTCACCAGAGAATTCTAGGACGATCCTCCTGCATTTGTTTCCACATCTTCACCTGCCACTCACCTGGCGCCTCCTGGCAGCCTGGCTTCCCATCCCACTCCCTGACCCACACTCACTTCTCCAAGGTTAGCGTCATCTCTTAAATGCTGACTCCAATGACCTTCCTCAATCTTCTCCCTCCTTTCTTACTCTCCCTGCTGTCCCTCCTCCCTGATCCATCCTGGGTGCTTTCCTCCCAGACCTCCTCCTCCTCCTCCGTCCCCATTGAGTCCCAGCCCCTGTGTGTGGGTGTACTCCAGGCCTCAGACTCACTCCCTCTTCCCTTCCCTTGGTGATCCTATCGGCTCCCAAGCTTTCCATCATCATCCCTTTGCAAACGACCTGCCAGTCTCCATAGCTATCCCTCCTCTCTCTCTTAAGCTCCAGTTTACAATATCTGTAACTTAACTTATATATCACCATCAACCCGCTGGACATCTCTACTTGATGTTCCACAAGGATCCTAATTTCAATGTGCCTAAAACAGAAGTCATTCCCTTTCCCCTGGGCCTCTCCCTAACTTTCGCTGTTTCTGTCAAGGGCCCCCTATCCTTCCTGTCACCCCTTTCCACATCCCTCCCATTTCCTCACTCTTGTCAGCCCTACCACAACGCCGCCTGCGGCCTGCCCCCACCCCTGCCCCCTTCTCTCTGCTCAGTTTGCTGTCTTCCTAATTCCAGCCTTTATTCCTCTCACCTGGATGAATGAAATCACATCCTAACTGGCCTCCTTCCTTCCAGTCTTTTTCTCCAATCCCTCTTCCAAACATGTGTCAAACTGAAATTCCTATAAATACAAGCCTGAGCACGTCACTGTCCTTAAGAAGCTGTGATGGCCCCTCTTCCATCTGGGACAAATGACAAATTCCTCTCTTTGGCGGGTAAGGCCCTTCACGTTCTGCTTCTGCGGCATCTCCAGATTCATTTCATGGTACTCCTCCTCAAGCACTCTCCGATCCAGCCCAGCTCTCCTCGCTGCTCTTCCCCTCCACCCACTCCCCCACCCTAACACCTTTCACACACTGGGCCACCAGGACTCTTTCGGGAATCCCTAGCCTCTTTCAAGGCTCATCAGTGACCTCCTACATAAGATCTTTCCTGAGAGGAAGCCGGGTGGTACAGAGGACCTGGGGTCAGAAAGACCTAAGTTCAAATCCAGCCTCATTCAGGTCACTAGCTGTGACCTGAGTCACAAAGGTTACTTAACCTCTGTCTCCCTCAGTTTTTCATCTGTAAAATGAGCATCCTAACAGCACCTACCTCCCAGGGTTGCTGTGAGGATCAGAAGAGATATTAGTAAAGCACTTTGCAAACCTTGAAGCACTAGATAAATACTATTTGTTACTATTATTGTTGTTTGTTGTTGGTGTTGACGAGCATCTTCCCATTCCCACCACTGCTGTTAATAGTGGACAGAATGCTCGAAGTAGAGGCAGGAACACCTCCCTTTATCAAGTTTTGCCTCTGACACTTCTCTGAGCCTCAGTTTCCTCATTTTCAAAATGGGGATAATATCTGTAGCACCCACCCCACAAGACAGCTGAAACCTTAAGACAGACCTAGAAAACTTGCTGAAAACCTTAAGATGCTATTATTTTTATTTTGTATATGCTTATCTGTGTCCATATTATACCCCTCCCATACAATGTTAGCTCCTTGAGGACAGGGATTATTCCATTTTTGTCTCTGTATACCCACGTCCCTGGCCCAGTGGCTTGCATGTGAGGAAACGCTTAGTAAATGCTTGTTGAATTGAAAGTATGATTAGATTCTTAGCAATGCAAGGATCTAAGACAACTCCAAAAGACTCATGATGGAAAATGCTGTCCACATCCAGAAAAAGAACTATGGAGTCTGAATGCAGAGTGAAGCATATTCTTTTCTTTTTTTTTGTTTTTTCTCAATGAACCATAACCAGTGGTGTCCAGGGCTCTTGACTCCTACCTCAAGACCAAATTACTGGATTTACCTACCTGGTTGCTGGGAATGGAATAAGGTGGGTTGATTTCTACCAAGGACGTAAATGTTTCCAGGAACAAGTCACCGAGGCTCTGGTGGATCACAACGTTGGCGGCATTGCGAATGGGGGCACGGAGCTTCTCACGAAGTTCGCCATACTCTGTAGAATTCAACCTGAATGAGAAACGGGAAAAGGAGTATCATTTCCTCATTTTATCTGTCCTAGGGTTTAGAAGCTGAAGGGGTCTTTGAGGTGGTCTAATCCAGTTCTCTCATTTTACAGATGAGGAAACCAAGTCCCCGGGACTTGAGGGACTTGCTGAGAATCAAGGCTAACAAATGCTAGAGCCAGAATTTGAACCCAGGTCCTCTCACTCCAAATCCAGGGCCCTTTCCATCATATTACTTTGCCCTTGATGCAGAGGTTTAGTGAGGAAATGTCACTTAAAATCATAATCTTTGTATTGTTCTTGGCCAAAGATTCTGGCTTGACTTGTAATAATGCTCCTTCATTTTAACAATACTTCATACTCTTCCAAGGGGCCACTTTAGTTGCATGACCTTGATTTAAACTAAGTGCTCAACAAATATCTCATTTGATCCTCATAATAACTCTGGGAGGTAGGTGCTAGTATGATCCTCATCGTACAACTGAGGAAACTGAGGCAGATAGTGGTGAAATGACTTGCCCAGGGTCGCACAGTATCTGAGGTTGGATTTGAACTCAGGTCTTCCTGACCCAGGTTCATCGCTATCTCTACTGCATCGTACCTGACTTCAGAGAGAGCGATCTTGCCATTGTATTAGGCTTTCTATCAATAAATCAACATTCATTAAGTGCCTACTATATGCCAGAGGCAGTTAGGTGGCACAGTGGATAAAGCAGTGGGCTTGGCAACAGGAAGACTCATCTTCCTGAGTTTAAATCTGGCCTCGGACACTTACTATACAACCCTGGGCAAGTCACTTAACCCTGTTTGCCTCAGTTTCCTCATCTGTAAAATAAGCTGAAGAAGGTAACAGCAAACCATTTCAGCATCTTCGCCAAGAAAGCCTTAAAGACTTGAAGCCAGGAGGCAGAGAAGGAGGGAGAACATTCTATGTATGGGGGACAGCCAGAAGAAATACCAGAGCCCCAGGATGAGAGTGCCTTGTCTGAGAAACAGCCAAGAGGCCAGTGTCACTGGATGGAAGAATATGTGTGTAGGGAAAAGGGGGAAGTGAAAGGGTAAAAAGACTGGCAAGGTGGAAGGCAGGCCAGCTCACTGAGCCTGGAGTAGACTGCGGATCCATGAGGTGGTCCCTTACACTGTGGTGTAACTCTGACCAGTAGAGAGTTCTCCCTCACACACCCCTTCCTCCTTTTCTCTTTCCCTGTTCATTCTAGTTTTGCTCTCCAGGACCAAAAAGACCAACTAAATCCCCTATACACACAATGGCCCTTCAGATACTTAAAAATCTTAGACTGCACTAAGATTGTGTGGGCTACTCTTTATTCCAGATTCTACCTTAAAGTGCTATTAAAAGTCTGTTACCACCATCGTTACAGTCCTAGGACAAGCCACTATCCTGTACGTGATGGTATCGTGGAAAAAGCATTACACTTGGTATCATGGGAGACTTGGGTCCAAACTCGGCCTCTGACTTGGCTGGATCTGTGCCCACAGACAAGGCACTTACCCTTTCTCATCTATATAAAATAGAGACAATACTTGCAATAATTCCCTGCAAGGTTATGATGAGAATGTTTCACAAATTTCAAAGTGTTTTATAAATGTAAGTTATTGTGATGATTGTTATTATGATGTCATCTATTGAGGTCAGAGATGTAACCTCCCTTATTCTGTATCCCTTCATCATCTCAGATGGGAATAAAAATGCATTGTTGGGTACTTGGCTCTTTGTTTTCTGGGAGAATAATTCACTCTGAGGTGGAACAAAAGTGGCAGGAAGTAGCTTGTGACTTAAAAAAAAAATTCTTTCTAGATCTGTGAGAAGCCATCAGTTATCAGCCGTGCTCTAAATTGGATGAGACAGAACAAATGCACTGAGGGACACACACTTGGCTTAGAGGATGAAGATGTGTTTGGGGAAATGAGCTGGTGAGAATTATTCTGATTTCACAGGTAACAGCCTTTAAATCAGACCAAGGGAGAAAGAAGGTTCTCTCTGCAGGCCCTGATGGATTTCGCCAGACCTTGTGGCTTCCCTGAGCACCTGCTTTACTAACTCATGGCGCAGCAATAAGGGACAGATGTTTATAACCAATGCCTACAAGAGTGTCAGAGCTGAGAGCAGCTACAATGAACTTTTAATCTTCACTCAAGCAAATGAAAACGCAGCCAGCATTCTTTAAACGCAGTATTTTCAGTAGACCACTTTTTAAAAAAGAGTATTTGTTTTTTTAAAAGCTTTATTGATTTTGTTTTTCACACAATCATTTCTCAACAAACCCACTAATCTTTCACTGATTCTTCCCTTGTAGCAAGTTAAACAAACCTGACCCCAAGCCAGCTCCATCTCAGAACACACGCAACATTTCCTACCCAATAGATTCCCACTTCTCCATCAAGAGGAAGTGAGGGTCAGCACAGCACTTTAGTTGAAGGATCGAGGGGCAGGATTAGGGGAGACAAAAAACATGTTGACATGGTATTGAGCACCAGGGAAGGCGCTGGAGTGCACCTCATTCCATGCCTCCATTGTCTTTTTAATGACGTAGGTGCAGTAACAACCGGTTAGCTAAGTGACCCTGAACAAGTCCCTTGCCACCTCTGTCCTTCGGTTTTTTAATCAAGTGACTGAGTCTTTGGCCTCACTTCTGCTCCTAATTCCCTGTATGAACTTCAGCAAGTCTCTCCTCTTCTGGGGGCCTCATTTTCCCCAAATGGTGAAAGGGGAAGTTGGACTTCATGATTTTTCAGGTCCCTCCCTGCTCTGACACTCCACGTTTTATGTTGTAAGGCCCTCCATGCTCTGACATTCCATGGTCTATGTTCTAAGTCACTCCTTGCTCTGACATTCCATGGTCTATGTTCT